TAACCATTAATCTCGTTGAGTTAGTGACTTGTGAGATCCACTCGCCACTGCACTCCTCAATTAAATAAATTTGGTGTAATAGGCAGTAAAGTCAAAGCTCCAACAACTAGCCCTAAGGGCACTGCCTATCACACACAAATCTGTGAAGTTAGCTGTTACCTTAATTTACAACTGTGACGTGGAACACACATCTGTGACATTAGCTGTTACCTTCGTTTACAACTGTGATGTTAGCTGTTACTTTTATTTACAACTGTGATGTGGAACACACATCTGTGATGTTAGCTGTTACCTTCATTTACAACTGTGACGTGGAACACACATCTGTGATGTTAGCTGTTACCTTCGTTTACAACTGTGACGTTAGCTGTTACTTTTATTTACAACTGTGATGTGGAACACACATCTGTGATGTTAGCTGTTACCTTCATTTACAATGGTGATGTGGAACACATATCTGTAATGTTAGCTGTTACCTTCATTTACAACTGTGACGTGGAACACACATCTGTGACATTAGCTGTTACTTTTATTTACAACTTCGATGTGGAACACACATCTGTGATGTAAGCTCTGACCTTCATTTACAACTGTGACGTGGAACACACAACTGTGATGTAAGCTCTGACCTTCGTTTACAACTGTGACGTGGAACACACATCTGTGATGTTAGCTGTTACCTTCATTTACAACTGTGACGTGGAACACACATCTGTGATGTTCAATTTGTTTTAGTAGCTCACTCCATGGAAAAAGAAAGTTTTAAATAGTTATTTACACCAGGTTTTATAGACTATCTGACTAATTCTGTGATATGTTATTGTAATTAACTCAAACAAGAGAGTAACCAATAAAACTATGTATATTGTAATCCAGCCAACCTGGTAGGCTCTGGGATACAGCTAGTAATAAAATATAACCTATATTAAACAAACATTACTTGAAAGCTGTACTAAATCAACAAAGTACTACCAATCTTAAAAAGACAAAATATTGGAATTTTCTTGCACATGAAAAGAAGATCCAGTTTTGAAAAGACTCCCTTAAGCTTTCTATAAAACTTTGAAACATTATTGCTAGATTAATCAACATATCACACAATGATTTTATTTGTATTTATTACTGTTCTGGGTTTTTAATTTTGGTTGAACTTTTATATATTTTCTCAAACCAGTGATTCTAAGAACATTTTCTAATAAAATGTTTTCAATTACTTATCAAGTAAAAATATAAAGGAAAACATATTACAAAAATGAACTTAGTTACCTACCACAAAAATATTACATTTTAAAGTAACATTTTACTTACAAATCAAACGTATTTTATTCACAACATAACCATCTGTACACAAAAACAACATATCAACTATTACATAATTACTTTACAAATATGAGGACAGTTCATAATATGATGTAAACACAGTCAGCACTTTCAACAATACTTGGATTATATTATACCTGTATTACAGTAATACATTATGTAGTTCAAGTATTCACATTTTCTATATCATATCTGTATTATAGTAATACATTATGTAGTTCAAGTATTCACATTTTCTATATCATATCTGTATTATAGTAATACATTATGTAGTTCAAGTATTCACATTTTCTATATCATAGCTGTATTGTACCAATACATTACGTAGTTCAAGAGTTCACATTTTCTATATCATATCTGTATTATAGTAATACATTATGTATCATTCACAATTTTCAAAGATTTTTAAATCTTTTAAATCAACACCAAGAATATTGTTTTCTAAAACTCATTTTGAATGAAGGAAAATAATATTGTAAATGAGGAAATATTTCATAAAAACATATCACCAAACTATCATCTTGATTATACACATACTTTCAAATCGTTTAAAACCAGTCTTCATAATTCAAAAAATTTAATATTCCTCCTTCCATAAACACACCATACACATTAGCCTTAGAAGTACACATTGTTTTCTTAAGTCACCATAAGCACACCATACACATTAGCCTTAGAAGTACACAGTTTTCTTAAGTCACCATAAGCACACCATACACATTAGCCTCAGAAGTACACATTGTTTTCTTAAGTCACCATAAGCACACCATACACATTAGCCTTAGAAGTACACATTGTTTTCTTAAGTCAAAATGACATTTTAAAAATAATTTGTGAAAATTGGTGTCTTTATGAGTAAACATTAGAGAAGTGTAACACCACACATTAATGGTGTTAATTATTACTTTCATAACAGTATCCATACCACTTTGGGTAAGTTCCATCTCTTCAGCCACTTGTACTTGATAACACCTGGATACAATATCGACTTCACTGTGGTCAGTTTAAAATACCAGATATGAAACCAAACAAAACATATACCACTGAAAATGTCCGTAATGTTTCTTAAACACATATTTGTCTGTCAACAATAACTTGATAGTTTGAAAACTCAACCTTAAATAATTGATTTACGTGGCCTTTCCAGGATCTACTGCAAATGTATATTATAAATATTAGATCTACTGGTTAAATTATAAACAAAACATTTAGATTTTTCACATTCCTCATAATTAGTCCAGAAAGGTCTTTTCAAAAGGCATATTTTCAACACAAGCTATTAGTTAGGAGAATGTGGATCAAAGCTACTTCTGGTCATATATATCTTTAGTATAAATACTGTTCTTAAACATTTTCAATTACTTTATTGAAACATGTGTACTATATTTACATGTGAAGGTAGCAAGAGAGAAACTTCTGTCATGTGATACATGTCTGTTCAGAGTAGTTTAATATATACAAATGTCAGTGTATCTATAATGGGATGTTGAGGACATGTGGTCCGGCCAATGTTCCCAGGACCCTTGTCGTGATGTAGAAAATACCTTCAAAGTTTGGTCTTAATTTTAAATATAAACTAATATGAGAGTTAATTCTCCAGTGTTTTAGCTAGCAGAAAGTAAGAATTCCTTCAAAGTTTGGTTATAATTATAAATATAAACTAATATGAGAGTTAATTCTCCAGTGTTTTAGCTAGCAGAAAGTAAGAATTCCATCAAAGTTTGGTTATAATTATCAATATAAACTAATATGATAGTTAATTCTCCAGTGTTTTAGCTAGCAGAAAGTAAGAATTCCTTCAAAGTTTGGTTATAATTATCAATATAAACTAATATGAAAGTTAACACGTAACATATACATCCGGGGTACAAATTTGTTCTCGGTCCAACAGGACTATTTAAGCCAGAAAAAAAAAGATAATTGGCTAAACTTTTTGCATTGATTTTCTCATAACGTAACAGAGCTAAATCCATTTTCCGGATGTGCTTTCAAATATTATTAATGATATTCTTGATGCAAGTGAAAATACTGCACCAAAGGCATGCTATGCAGTGGTCTTAGAAATGGAAGAGATGATAAAAGAGGCAAACCCCATCAAAGAGTTCCCCGATGAGAAGAAAATAAAAAGCAAAATAGCCAAATCAAATAGAAGAAGAAAAGACAGGCAGCTGGAGTCCAAGGAGGTGTTTTATTATAAATTCTGTACATGTTCGAAGGTCAACATAAGTATTCATCCTAAAAAAACAACAAAATTGTAAAAGAATTGTCATTTATTTGCATGAAATAAAGAAGAAAAAGAATAAGAAAATAAAGAGAGAAATGGCCTGGAAAAGGGTGCTTCCATTGTTCATAATATTGTATCTTTGGGCGAGTTTTGTAAAGTTATATTATGGCAAGTGTATAAATAAATTAGCTTACCAGCAATTGTTTTTTAAAAATCTATAAAGTGTCTGGTTAGCCACTTCAACCTCCTGCAACAGAGAACATACAACTAGTACAACCCATTCTGAAATAGTCTGATTTAAATTTTCACATAATGTTGATGTTTTTCTTCATGTATCTTCAGCTTAAAAACTTCTAATTTTGTTTTTATTTCATAAAATAAAAGTTTGTATTTAGAATAAAAAAACACAACAACTAACATAATTCTTACCACAGAAGAACCAGAGTATTACCACAGAAGAACCAGAGTATTACCACAGAAGAACCAGAGTATTACCCTCTTTCATTTACTACCTTCTCCACATAGCCTTTTGATTTATAATCTGAAGAGAAATATTCCACCCATACAAAACTCACAAAATAAAAATTCAATGACAAGGAACCCACTTTGAGACTAATAATGGTTGTAGATGGCTTGAATGGGTAATGAAGAAAATTTTTTATACAAGTTTAACATAACAGCAAATGTACAAGGTTTTGGTTTGTGATGATGTACATTTGCTGTTATGTTAAACTTATATTAATGTTTTTTCTTCATTACCCATTTAAGCCGTCTCCAACCATTATTCCAAAATAAAAGTTAAATATTGTTGTTCTTACTTTCAAGACACAGAAGTGACATTACAGATTCACATAATGGGAAAACCATTAGTTACTTGTTCCATGACATGGTAACAATTGGTAGAGAAGTAGCTGATTCAATACCTGGATGACACAGTAACAATCGGTAGAGAAGTAACTGATCCAATATCTGGATGACATGGTAACAATTGGTAGAGAAGTAACTGATACAATACCTGGATGACACAGTAACAATCGGTAGAGAAGTAACTGATCCAATATCTGGATGACAAGGTAACAATTGGTAGAAAAGTAACTGATGCAATACCTGGATGACATAGTAACAATTGGTAGAGAAGTAACTGATTCAATACCTGGATGACACGGTAACAATCGGTAGAGAAGTAACTGATCCAACAGCTGGATGACACAGTAACAACTGGTAGATAAGTAACTGTCAGAACACTAAAACGACAATTTACGTTATCGTACAGCTACCTGAGAAAGAAGTAATTCCTTGTTTAGGTTTAGGAAGTAAATCACCAAGTGATAACCAAGATTAATCATTCAAAAATTCATTCAGTCTTTGTACAATTCTAATATTTCATGATAAAAAAAAAAAAAAAAGAGTTGCACAAAGTGTACTGTAATTTGACATCTAGTTCACTAATTCAGAATTCAATTATAAAAGTTGTTTATTCAGATTGTTCTACAATTGCAATACGATATCTTCTTTCAAAATAGTACAGACAAAAATGTGTAAACTCTAGCATTATCATGTTATTTGCTGCCAATCAATTAAATTTATCGTCCTGCTCTAACATTTCTTTGAAGCTTCAGGTCATACTCCAGGGAAATACCATTTCAAGGAAGATAGCTTCAGTTTGAGAACATGAAGTTATAGAGTCACTAGCTTTCTTTCGTTGTTTTTGTTTGGTCTAAATGGAATTTGCCATGTCTTCCAACACCCTCCATAAATTTCTGGGCTCCTAAAAGATGACAAAAAAAAATCTTGTTACATATATTTATAGTTCATTAATACTTTCTTATAATTGTAAAATATGATAATGTCAGAAAGCTATGATTTTAATAAACAAACTTCTACTCTCACACATACTGAAAGTATTGAGAACCTATTTCAATGTATGAAAATCAAAACATTCCTGTTCTCTTTCAGTGATGCCCTCTATATGCAAAACATTTTTATGCATGCCACAAGCCTTTTGCCTCCCATCCATTGAAAATTGACTCATTCCAATGTGTGTCTAATGCAAATCATCATGCAACAACCCTCCATCAATGAAAGTGTCATACACTTTTGTTATTCAACTCTACCAGATTATCACTTCAAGTTTTGGCAGAAAATGGAAGCAATGGTTTTCAGTGGGGAAGGAGGGTAGGAAGTGTGAAAGGAGGTAAGTACCTATTGGAAATACATTTTCAGTATGGGAAAAATTATAACTTCCATAATGGTACATTACCTGCACTCACATAAATAGCTAGAATCCCACACTGAATAGGTGGCGGGACCAGTGTGAGGGAAAGAAAGAAGCATCCTTAGAAAGCATCCACAGGACACTCCCTAAGATGAGACAGTCAGATCCTAATTATTGGATCAGATATTAGGTAGGTCGAAGGAAAGACTTCTCCAATTTGATTAACCAGCCCACTTGAAGGTATGGTCATGACTACCAAGCAATTGGTATATGTAAGTAAGCATTTGTGAAATCCATCTTGGTCATCCATAAACCTGAAGAAAACGCCCACCTAAGGGTGAGAAATTATTCCATGGTAAAATGAGAAAGATTGGAAAATTTATTGAAGCGGGACAAGTCTATGACAGGCCACTAGTCTCCGATTTTCTTGGGGACAACAAACAGCCTGGAATAAAAACCGGGAGAAAGATGATTCACAGATTTAAGAGCCTGTTGGGACAGAAGGTCGTGAACCGCCTCCAACAGACGCTGGCTGGTAATGTGATCCCGAGGTAGAGGGAAGGAAATGGGTATCTTTGATAAAGGAGGAGGGGAAAGGAATTGTTGGACAAGTCCCTCTGAGAGAACCCAAATAACCCACTGATCTGTGACAAAATATTGCCAAAGGGGAACAAAGTTTCACAATCAAGCTCCCACCAAACCTGAACCCATTGTGAAGTCACTGGTACTGTTGGCACATTGTGCTGATCTATGTTGAAGAAAACAATGAGATATGGAACCCCTGGAAGAAGGAAGTGGTAAAGGCTGAGAATGACTAGGACGGAAAACAGGAATAGGGGCTCGTTGTGATTCCGACTCCAACAAACGAGCTACAAAAGAAGAAAGGGTAGAGAGTTGATTCAGGGATTCCAAAGTGTCAGTAACATAGTCGATTACATACCATCAAAGAAAAGGTGCTATACATAATTCCCTGAGATAAGTGGGCAGCAAACGAACCTTTTACAAAGCCACATCTCAACCCAGTAAATCCCAACAACAGAGAGACCAAGTGTGTAAGGAGAGAGCCAAGGATGACAAACAAGCCAACATAAGAATAATAAGGGAGAGGCTGTCTTTCGAAAAACCTTCAGGAATTCAGTGTAGAGCCTCTAAAAGGGGATGTATGGTAGATAAATACCATAGAAGGGAAGTAAGGGTAAGACAAAGGCATGAAAATTGGGCATGGGTTAATTGCACTAGAAAATCAGGGATTGCACCCAAAACGACCCCAACAGCTTAAGAGTATAAAAATGGACAGTCTACTTGATGGTATGCCAAAGCAAACTGATCCATTGCCCATGGGGAGCAAGGCACCCTCAACCAACTGGGAAGCAAATTCCTCAACATGAATCCTAATATCCAGGGAAGGTGGGAGAACTAAATAAGAAGAAAAAGAATTGTTGTGCAAAAAAGGAAGATGAGAATCATAGGAAATTGGGGAAAGGGATAAAACATCACATACCTGAGAAATCATATCTAAAAACACTGTATCAAGCCTAGCTGATTTCGCAGGTGGGACATAAAAAGACATGGAAAAATACAGTCGTGGAAAAAGGCCATAAAAATCTTTCTCAGAATGAACAGGTTCAGATTGTTCATGAGGAAGTGGGGCAACTTCAGGAAAAAGTAGTTTACCCATATAACAATCAATCTTTTTGGCGAATAATTGCAGATAGATCCATCGATGGGTTGCCCCACCTGCAACCAGTGAAAAAGTGCTTGTAGTAGGTGTGAGACCCAAAATGGTCACATTACCCTCAGACTTCATGGTAAATAATAATAAATCAAACAAACTGTTTGATTTATGAGGACAAACGTGCAAAAAAAAAAAAGGACTGGAAAGTAATTTGAAAATAAAGGTGGCAACTTTAGAATAAAAAACTATTAAAAACCACTTCAGAAATATAACTGTTAGAGTTATAATGACGAAGCACACCAGAGTAAAATTCGAAATGTCTAAAGACAAGCACTGCCAAACAAGAAGTGATAATCTGGTAGAATACAGGGAGTCACATGCGTAATGAAATTGTATGGTACTCTCATTGGTTGAGGGTTGTCGCATGATGATTTGCATTAGACACACATTGGAATGAGTCATTTCCAATAGAGGTGGCAAAAGGTTTTGATATACAAAAAAATTTTGCATATAGAGGGCAGCACTGAACAAAAATGTACCATATCAGAATATATATTTCTAAAAAACTTGTACAGGGACATTAGTTTCGACATGTTCCTATGCCTTCTTCTGAGGAGACATAAGTCAATATAACTTAAAATACTGTACGGGATACTAGTTTCGGCACATTCCAGTGTTTTCTTCTGAGGAGATGTAAGTCAATACAACTTAAAAGTTCTTATACTGCTGGCTTTAAAGATGATGATGACAAGAAGTACCTTTGTATAAACTATAGCATGAGTCTTTAATAAAATGCTAATGAAAAATAAATTAATGTATTTATAGATTAATTTAAACATTATTATAAATAACTTATCTTTGAACAAATTTCGAAGATAACCAACAAGATCATGGCAATCTTGTAAAATCCAAACACAAGAACAACTTAACAGGACCATTGCAATTCTTTCTGCATGTGAGATTACAACTGTCATGTTGATTTCAAATAAACTACACCAAAAAACCAATCAAAGTTTCTTTCTTCAAAAACCTCCTATACTTTTAAGAAAGTTGGTAATAAAGATGTGCAATTTATATGTAGAGTTTATAAGTTGGAGGAAAAGTTGGAGGCCATCATTATTAAAGTAGAGGCAATACATAAAGAGAAGCATAGACTGCGGGAAATGGCAGCAGGATTTCAAGATGAATGTAGGCTTTTACGTGTAACTTATCCTTACATACTAACCAAAGCCTAGAATTTAACTCTAGTGACCTACTTATAACTTCATCCCCACAATCAATTCTTCGTAGTATCCCTGACACAATTAAGTTATGACCTTTTTTCTTTAAATGCCTTTATCAACCCCTTGTACTTAATGATTAGCTCCTCTGACCTACCTGTTACATATATCTTCTGCTCTGTCAGTTATATCCTCCACCTGTGCCCCTGGGTAGCATAATATAATTCTTTTCTCCCTATTTACCCACAGACAATCCTATCTATATGCCTTATCAAGGAATCACCTGTAACTATAACCTCCTTATCATCCACGTTCTTCTCTGACCCTTTTATTTTCCTTCCCTCCATTAGTTCCTTATCTGCACAAGCCAAGGGCTGAAATCTCTTGCTCAATAGGCTCATTACAATTAAATTCACTACTTATAGCTCTAATACTACTGTTTATAACTTCCTGAAAGTCATTGTTAGCTGATGTATTCCTTGGGATTGGCTGGTTGGACTTGTGGAATCAGTTCAATGGGAGAAAGGAGCTTTTTGAAATGGATTGTTTATATTTAAATAGGACAGAGGCTAGCTTGTTTGTTAGGGCTATTAACTCAGCTGTAAGGGAAGTTTTAAATTAGGACTAGACAGTGGTGAAGGCCAGGATAAAGCGATTTCAAAAAGAATAAGAGGTAGAGAAAAGTTCAGTAGAGAAAATGAGTATAGAAGTAGCTATAAGTATAGGCTTAATTGTTACTATTGTGAT